TCAGGAGTTCAAGACCAGCCAGACCAACATGGTGAAACCCCATGTCTACTAAAAATACAAAAACTAGCCAGGCATGGGGGTGTGCGCCTGTAATCCTTGCGACTCGGGAGGCTGAGGCAGGAGAAGCGCTTGAACCCGGGAGGTGGAGGTTTCAGTAAGTCGAGATCAATGCATTGCATTTTAGCCTGGGCAACAAGAGCAAAACTCTGCCTCAAAAAAGAAAAAAGAAAAAAAAGCTGGGCATGGTGGTAAAGGCCTGTAGTCTCAACTACTCTGGAGGCTGAGAAAGGAGTTTCACTTGAGCCCAGGAGTGAGACCCTGCTTCTAAAAAAATAAAGAAACTTGCCAGCCCTGCCTGTGTGCTTCTGCAGCCCTGTGCAGGGAGCTTCCAGCCTCAGCCCGGGCCCAGTCCCACTGCACCCCATCTTTGTGAAGAACCATTTCATTTGGAGCTAGCTGTGCAGAGGCTGGCAGTTAGGTAGAGGGAGACTGCATGGCCCTGTGCGGCAATCGTGCCGGCCCCTGCAGCGGACAGCTGCCACCTTCTCTCCTGTTGTGTTTCTGATGGTTCAGAGTGGATGTGGCTGAGCCCAGTGATAAGTTTTCAGGTCCCCAGTTCTCCCCTGCCTGCCACTTGGGTGGTCTTTGGTATGTTTCAGACCCGTCCTGTCTTCCCAGCTCTCCCTGGGTGCTGCCTGGCAGGAATTAGGCCAGGCTCAGGCTCAGTGAGAGATGGAGAACATTGCGTCTCAGATGTCGGCATGCTGGTTTTCCAGTTTCTAATCCTCTTTATAAAATAACAAAATGCAGTAAAGTCAGATTCTGCGTGGAGGATGCAGGAAGGCAAGGGTGATTGCCTGGGAAACCCTGGTCCTTGGGGCTGCCCATGGTGTGCCCAGGGGCGACGGTCAGGAGGTGTCTCCATGGGGCACCAATGTTTAGGGTATGGCAGTGGGGGGCCGTGCCTGCCTGTGGGCCTGTGTGTGGGTGCTCAGGGCTGGCTTGGGGGTAACAGTGTTTGATTCGCTAATGCTTTTGCTCAGACTAGAAGTTGTTCCTGAAATTATGGTCTCAAGAGATGCTCCCCACAAAAAAGTAGTTCAAGTATCCATCGGGTTTGAGAAATCCCAGGCTCTTCTTGTGTTGGGGCTGATTAGACATAGGGTGGAGGTGTGCTTCTGAGCATCGCACTCAGCCCTCCTCTCCCAGCAGCCTCTCATTGTCCCTGTCCTTCCTGCCCTGGCTCTCCCATGCTGGAGCTCCCCCAGTTCTCCATGCCATCTCCTCACCTTGGTAAGCCCCTCTCCTGGATCTAGGTTAGTAAATAACCCTGGCCCACCCTGCAGGCACTGCCCCATCCCCTGTCCTGAGTCATAGCAGAGTCCCTCCTTTCCCTTTGGGGTTCCTTTACCACCAGGTTGTGAGATTCTGGTTGGTTTCCTTTGGTTGTTTCCAGTCCATAAAAGGTGCTTAGTGCATGGCAGCTTGGGACATCCGAATGAGCGATGTGGCAAAATGTGATTGGAGGAGACAGCTGAGCAGTTCCTGGGCAGTGTCTTCCTCGGGGGCATGTCTGTCAGAATGGCTGGTCAGCCCCATATGACCCTGAAGAGCCCATGGGTTACAGGGTGGGTGTCATCTCACAGGCCCTGTGGATGGTCACCTAGCTCATTGTCCTTGTTGCCAGGGCATGCCTCCCTCGAGCTGGGCGCAAACCCCAGCCTGAGTTTCACACGTTTGTTATTTAGCATCCATTTGGGGCTGCCCGCGTGTTAGTCACACTGTTTTAGGGACTTTGGATAAGAGAAAACAAAACATTGAAAAATCTGGGCACTCAAGTGCTGGAAAGTCAGGTTAGATTCTCCTCTTCCCCAGCAGAACTGCCAAGGTGCGGATACATAGGATGGTCTCAAAATGCCTGCTGCTGTCCCCAGGGAGGCCGGCCATTCTTTTTATCTGCCAAGTGGTTGTCAGGCACCCACTTTGTGCTGCTGAGTGATCCATGAGTGGGCCCCTGAAGGGTCAGAGTCCAGGTGGGAACAGTGTGCTCAGGCAAGCAGGCAGCACTTCCTGTGGTCTCTCTGCCCTGGATGGGAACTGGAGTGATAGACAGAGTGGAGAAGCCAGCAGCTTCGGGTGGTCTTCACCATGAAGTCAACACTGAAAGCCCAGTCACCAAGAGAACCATATCAAGGCCCCATGGCTGGGGTTACGTGTTGTGGTCGGGGATGAGCAGAGGTGCCCTGCTGGGGAAGGGAAGTTCAGGCAGCCCAGGACAGCGGCTTCCCTTTGCCTTTCAGCTGCTGTATGTTGCCAGGAAACTTCTAGGTGAGAGGCTATTCAACAAGCTGATGAAGATGACCTTCTATGGGCACTTTGTAGCAGGCGAGGACCAGGAGTCCATCCAGCCCTTGATCCGGCACAATAGGGCCTTCGGCGTCGGCACCATCCTGGACTACGGAGTGGAGGAGGACCTGGGCCCCGAGGAGGCTGAGCACAGGGAGATGGAGTAAGGCCTGCTGGGTGTCTGCGGGCGCTCTGATCATGACCCCAGAGCACCCAGTGGGAGCAGCTGAGGCGTGTCCAGCTGCTGGGCTTCAGCCTCAGCTGGGTGGAGGCCAAGGCTAGGAGAGCTTGGTCAGCCCAAATACTGATGACCCTCCTGGGTTCTGCCTGGAGTTCTTGCATTTTTGCTTCATGTGGATGGCAGCTTGGGGCCTTCATGGGAGGCCTGGTGTATGTGAGGCCCGAGGAGGCTGAGCACAGAATGGCCCTTGGCCTTAGCTAGCCCACTGCCTGGCGGGGCAGAGGTACCAGCGCATGAACCAAGCACTTTGCAAAGAATGGTTGGTCTTGCCTGATCTCCCATGAACCAGGCACTGCTCCAAGAAGCAGAGGGCAACATGGTCTTGTTGTTCTGCCCTGATGCCCAGGAGGGTGGGTCAGGGTGGTACCAACCACCCTCTACACGCACTGTCCAGTGAAGAGGCTCTGTATCAGGTTAGTGACCTCTAGGAGGAGACTCCAGGCTGGCCTGCCACACTGCTCCTGGCTTCACTTCCCTTCTCCACTGACACTGGGGCAAGGGCCAGGCCTGGAAGGTTCCACACCTACAGGTCAGGCTGGGGCCCCTCAAGGGTCAGGCAGTGGGACCTGCCTGTGGGTCAGGAATCCCTGCAGAAGAGAGGCTATGGCGGAGCCTCCTCCATCAGGTCAGCAAATGTTTGTGTGAACAGCCAGATAGCACAGGCTCTCAGCCTTGGACCTTCTCTGCCATGATGGCTTCATTCTGGCTTAGGAGGGCCACAGTAATTTCAATTTCATATAATTTTCTTGTGTGAAAAAATATTATTCTTGTTTTGTTTTCTTATCAACGATTTTTTTTAATAGGGTCTTGCTGTGTTGCCCAGGCTGGAGTGCAGTGGTGTGTGGTTCACTGCAGCCTAAGGCTTTTCAGTGATCTTCTCATCTCAGCCTCTTAAGTAGCTGCGACCACAGGCACGCACCACCAGACCTGGATAATGTTTAATTTTTTTTCCTGTAAAGATGGGATCTCCTTATGTCTCCCTATGCATTTGGGTCTCCTGCACCCTGACAGCAGCTGGGCCAGACCCACCTGAGGCTCAGGACAGGCCCTCTGTGGACCTTGTCAGGCCTTGGTGTTTGCTCTGCCCCTCCCCAGGTGGCTGACCTGGGAAGGGGAGGGAAAGGCAGTTGCATGAGGCCTCCAGCCCTGGGAACGGAATGTCCGTGCCTTGCCTCAGCATGCCAGCCACCAGCTGCCCAGGGAGGATTGGCCAGGAGAGCCCAGCCCCTGCCTTGTGATTGGCTGTTTTGAAGGTGGGGTGCTCCAGTCCCTGGACCCCCCTGTGTTCCTAGCTGGCCCTGTGGGCCTCACAGCTGCCTGGGCCCTTGGCTGCAGCCTTTGCTGAGCTGCCTGTTGAATAACCAATGGCCTCTGTGTCCTCAGGAGTCTGATGGGGACTTGGTTTCACAATGGGGTTTTCCTCTCAGACGCCTCTGGTATGAAAAGACTCCTTTCCCAGGGTGGTCCTGCTGGGCTTCCTCCCTGCCCTGCAGGCTGAGTGTTTGGAAGTCAGCTGGCCTCTACTCTGCCAGGGGACTGCCCTTAGGACCCTGAGTCCCTTGCCCTGCAAAGGCTGTACCTCTATTGCTGCTGCTGGCTGCTGTCTGCAGGCGCCCTGCTCCAGCTCTGGGAATTGGGTCCTCACAGGGGTGCATGGTGAGGACACCCACCCAGCTCTGCTGCTCTGTGCCTTCAGAGGGGCCTGAGCCTCGAGGGTAGAGCTGGGCGTGCAAGTGCTGGTCTGATGTCCACACGGCAGCGTGGCCTGCCTGGCCAGGAGTGACCAGTCACGCAGACCCTAGTGCAGGGATCTGCTTAGAGATCTGCCTTCCTAATCTACCTTCCTGTCACAAGGCCCATGGGCTCTGCTCTGGGGAGAGATGCTGAGGTCCTAGCCACAAATTAAGGCCATGTGGGTGGTGCTGGCCTAACCCTGAGAGGCCCAGGGAGGGCGGAGGCGGCTGAGAGCACAGCGAAGTGAGTCCCAGCAGTGCTCCCGAGAAAGAAGGAGGAGGTGGGGGCTGGAGGTGCAGGAGGGTGGTGCCCACGCAGAGAGGGGTGGGACCATGCTTCCCAGAGGCCAGGGCCCACCCAACCCCAGGAGAAGAGTCCCAGGGGCCCCCAAGCAGGCTGAGGGCTTGGGGATGGGGCAGGGCCAAGGCATCTTCCTGATGATTGGGCTGTGAGGTGACACCCGAGCAGGTGGATGGGGACATCGGTCTGGCCGTGTAGGCCCACGGCTGGCTGGAGGCAGGGTCTGGGCCTTGGTTCCCAGGCTAGGGCAGCTTACTTGGGATATGTGTGCAGTGTGTGTCCTTAGCAAGTGGCTGGGGTGAGGGGCTGGGGAGGCAGGGGCTGGGGGAGCTGGGGAGGGGGGTAGGAAGGGGCTTGCTGGGATTCCCTCCAGAGGAGAGTTGCACAAGGGTGGGGCGTGGACCCCCATGCTCTGCTTGTTTCAAACAAGCATCACGTCACCAGGGACAGCCACCCAGAGCTGAGTTCGGTAGAAGCCGAGGGGGTGGTCAGGGTCTTCCTGCTGTCTCTGAAGATGCCTTCTTGCTTGTCCTTCTCTGCCCCATGTCCCCTTCTCGCACTTCCTTCCTCTGTGTCCTGGGTTGTGGCCACATGTTCCAGCATATGCCCTTCCACAGACTGTGCCCTGGGCGTGATGAAAGGTAGGGCTGGGAGAGCATGAGGTGGGTCCCGGCATTAATGAAGCATTGCCATGTGGTCCCCACCTGATTAGGGCCCCACATCCACCAGTTCACCCTTCATCCTCTAACATCCTGTGACTGCCAGTGCCACGTGCCCCCCTCTTCCCTGTGGGGGTGGCCTTAGCATAGACAATGGGTCCCCCTTGAGGATGGCTTTTGACTGCCTGTACCTGAGCCTCGGAGTGAAGGTCCTGGGACTGACCTCATGACTGGTCTTGAGGTGCACAAGCCAGGGGCCAGGAGCTCCCTCTCCCAGGCAGGGGGTCTTGTGCTGCCTGCCTGTTCCCTAGTCACATGGTGACATTCCACCTTCTTCGGTTACTTCTCTGTCAGCACAAGGCAGTCAGAGCATATGTGCCTGCCAGCTTCCATCCTTGGGCTGTAGCTTCAGGGGCCCTGGCAGCATGTGGGGAGGCCCTGGCCCATGTGACGCTGCCCGGGAGTGGGTGGGAGGGAAGGCCTCCTGGTGGGAGCTCCTGGCCCAGGGCTTACTCCTTGAGCAGCTAGGTGGGAAGTGGGCAGCTGAGACCCCTTGACGTGGAGGCCTCTCAGATGGGGTCACTGACCACTGCTCTGCCTTTACCCTTCCCAGGACTTGAGGGGTACCCTGTCCTTTCCTGTGAGTGTGGGCAGAGCTGCCCCCATGGGTCCAAGCACCTCTGGGGAGCCTCAGAGAGGCTGTGGATCCTGCTAGACATGCAGCTCTCTCCACGGCCACTGACTTCATCAAGCTTTGAATACAAAGTCAGATGACCCACAGGCTCCTGGGGCCAGGGAGACCATGGTCACTTTGTCACAGTAGATTTAAGAGCCACTCTTGTTAGCCTGAATGACACAGCACCGAAACCAAGTGCCAGGAAGCAGATTGTGGCCATTAGGAGGAGGAGAAAGAGGGTGTTCGCAGTGGCTCTGGCAGGGGTGCAGGGCTGGTTTGGAGGGGAGCCAGGCACCCTAGAGGTGGGAGGCGCCAGTGGTCATGGGTGTGCTAGCCAGGCAGGGATGGAGAGGCACCTGGAGGAAGGACAGGGGCTTGGCTGAGCAGAGCGTGGCCAGCCTTGTGGGGGCAGCCTGCATCCTGGCCTCACTGGTCTCGAAGTGCTCAAGCCAGGGGCCCAGGTCTTTTGGTATTACTAGGAAGTGATGGGAACCTGGAGTGGGGTGGTGGTAAACAAGAGGAGACGGTAAGATCTGCTTTCACGTTAAAGGAATTTTGCTGGTTGTTGCTTGGGAAAGAAGTGCCAGAGGCAAGAATGCTGCAGGAGAGCCAGCCTGGAGGACATGGCGGGACTGCAGGGCTGGCTGTGCGGGCAGGAGCTGGCCCTTGCATCAGTGGTGCCTGGAGACCCTGGTTCTGGGGCGGAGGCCTGAGGAAGGGGCCTCGCTGGGGATTTGGGGACCTTTGTGTGCTTGTGCCTTCCTGCCTCCGTTCTCAGCCCTGGCTGGCTCTGTCTTGGAACCAGGAATGCTCCTGTACTTGGGGCCAGCCCTGGGCTGTTCAGAGAACTCAGGCATATCCTTTGGATTTCTCCACCCATGAGGAGCCCCAGGCGCCTGAGACCTTAGGACACAACAGCCCATAAACTGCTGCCCCTCCCTGGCCCAGGTGTTCCACCCCAGGATAGGGTGGGGGCCTGCCCTTGGAACCTGCCCTCCCCTGGGGTTGTGGTGAGGCCCTCCAGGCAGCCTCAGTGAGAACCTGCCTGTGTCTGGGGCCCTGGTGCTGTGACCCTGACCTTTGCCCTCCCTCTCCTTCCCGCAGGTCCTGCACCTCAGCTGCGGAGAGGGACAGCAGTGGTGAGTGAGAGGCCTCCTTGCATGAACAGACGCCCTCCCCACCCTGCACACTGCCTGGTGGCTCAGGAGGGTCTAAGCTGGGGCACAAGTTGGTACCTGGGTTGCTATGTCCAGAGCACTTGCCCTGTTGCTCTGGGCTCTGACATACTTGCAAGCAACTGAAGAAGGAGACACCGTGCTTCTTTTTCACACTCTCCTGGTGGACCCAGGCCTTTGTTAAGGAGGCTTTGCCGTCCTGGCCTAATGAAGAGGCTTAGCCAGGGGGACACAGCACTCCAGGTGGAAGAGCCTGTTGCAGAGAGGAGGGTGGGCTTGGGGAATGGGAGTTATGGGGTAGCGCAGTGTTGGGGCCAAGCTGTCAAGGCCACTGCCCTCGGGGCCCTCCGGAGGGCAGGAGCTCTGGGATGTTGGCATGTGGGTACTGGGGTGGGTGTTTGAAGCTGTGCCCAGGCTGTACATTCACCATTCCAGGCACGAATAAGCGGGAGAAGCAATACCAGGCCTACTGGGCCTTCAGGGACCACAGGGATGGCGTCATCAGTGCCCGCACCTACTTCTATGCCAACGAAGCCAAGTGCGACAGCCACATGGAGACATTATTGCGCTGTATTGAGGCCTCAGGTGAGGCCTTCTCTTTGCTAGCTATACCCCTGCCATGCCCTGGCCTGGGTGGACCCCTGGGCTCATGGAGGTGCTGGTGGGTGAACTCCAAGCTGGCGCAGGAGCCAGAGGGCTGGGTTCTGGTCTTACTTGGGTTCATACTGTTCAGCCCCTTCCTAAGGGGCCCCGCTATCTCCAAGAAGGCACCTCCTGCCCCCGCCCAAGCCCCCTGTTCCCGGACCCTGCCTCATGCGCCCCACCCTTCTCCCGGGCTCAGGGTCAGGACCAGGAGCTGCAGGAAGTTGGTCCATGTCAGCTGTGGAGCCACCTTTAGCCCAGGGTGGAGATTCCGTTCTGGGAGCTGGTGCCATACCTTCTGCCTGTGAATCCCTCCCTGACCCTGACTCTGGGGGCCAAAGGTGGGGGAAGCAGCTGCTTCCAGGGTGAGAGAAGCCAGAGGTCACCAAGGCCCAGTGTCCTTCAGTGTTAGAGATACCCCTGACCCTGCGTAGCCCCATGCTGGCCCCAGCAGCCCTCCGTCAGGGCAGCAGGTCCCAGGCCTGTTGTGTTCTTTTTTTTCCCCAAATGAAATTGGGTCTTGCTCTGTCACCCACGCTGGAGTGCAGTGGTGTGATCATAGCTCACTGCAGCCTAGACCTCCTGGGCTCAAGCCATCCTCTTCCCTCAGCCTCTTGAGTGGCTGGGTCTACAGGTGCACACTGCCACACCTGGCTATGTTTTTTTTTTTTTTTTTTTTTTTTAATTTTTGTAAGGAGGTTTCACGGCCCGGCATGGTGGTTCATGCCTGTAAATCTCAGCACTTTGGGTGGCCGAAGTGTGTGGACTGCCTGAGCTCAGGAGTTTGAGACCAGCCCAGGCAACATAGTGAAACCCTGTCTCTACTAAAATACACAAAATAAGCTGGGTGTGGTGGTGTGCACCTATAATCCCAGCTACTCCTAGTGCTGAGACAGGAGAATCGCTTGAACCTGGGAGGCGGAGGTTGCAGTGAGCTGAGGTCACACCACTGCACTCCAGCCTGGGCGACAGAGCGAGACTCTGTCTCAAAAAAGAAAAACTAGATGAGGTCTCAGTATGTTGCCCTGGCTGCCTCCTGGAACTCCTGGGCTCAAGTGATCACCCTGCCTTGGCCTCCCACAGTGCTGTGTTCATAGGTGCACACTACCACACCCAGCCAATTTTTGTATTTTTTATAGAGATGGTGTTTTGCTGTGTTTTCCAGGCTGGTCTCAAACTCCTGGGCTCAAGCGAACCTTCCACTTTGGCCTCCCAAAGTGCAGGGATTACAGGCGCATGCCACTGCACCTGGCCTTTCTGGGCAGTGCTCGGAAGCCACCTCCTGACTGGGGCGGAGGTCAGAGTGGCCAGCTGAATGCTGGGCCATCAGGGTGAGGGGTGTCTTCCCCTTGCCCATTTCCTGTTCTGCTGGGGCACATGGAAGGAGAAGGCCCAGCAGAAGCAGATGCTCCTTTGGGGTGGTGGTAGACACGGTGTGATGGTATGATCTGTGTTCACTTCACAGGTGAACACAGGTGAAGTGTCAGGGGCAGGAATGCTGCAGGAGGGCCGGCCTGGAGGACAGGGTGGGAATGCAGGGCCGGCTGCCCAGGGGCAAGAGCCTGCAGTTACGTCAGAGCTTCCTGGGAGAACATGGCTCCGGGGCGGAGGCCTGAGCAAGGGGTCCCCGCTGGGATGTCTCTGTCTTAGCTATGCTTGGTGTTTCTGGGTCCTGTGACCCACATGTGAGCAGCCTGTGGTGCTGGTGTCACGGGAGGGAAACTGAGGCAGGAACCCCGTGGGGGCTGCTTGGCAGAGGACAGGCAGCTCCTGTGCCCACTGCGGAGCCTCCTCCTATCTCCACAGGGCCTCCAGAGCACCAGATGTGAGGCCTTCACGGGCGGGGTGGGGTGGGGCCAGGAGCCTGCTGCAGGCTGGCCAGACCCCAGCCTTCCCTATCCCACCCTGCGCTGCCCTATGCACCTCTCAGGGCCCTCAAGGCTTTTCCTGTGGCTTCTGACAGGTGCAGCCAGCGACGACGGCTTCTTAGCCATTAAGCTAACGCTACTGGGGAGACCCCAGTTTCTGGTAAGGGCTGTAACCTTTCACCTGTAGAGTCTGGTGCTGGGTGAATCCTCAGGGCAGCTGTGGGCATCCACTAAAAGCACAGGTGCCTGTGCCCTAGAGGCCTGAGCCGGCCACAGGGGCTGTGTGGGGGACTGGGGCAGGCAGGGGGTGTGCAGATGGCATTCAGGCCTGCATTTGCAGCTGCAGTTCTCAGACGTGCTGACCAAGTGGAGATGCTTCTTTCACCAAATGGCTGCGGAGCAAGGGCAGGCGGGCCTGGCTGCCATGGACACCAAGCTGGAGGTGGCAGTGCTGCAGGTGGGACAGCCCCCCACCTTGTCCTTTCCTGGGGCTTGTGAGGGCATGAGCACTGAGGGATGGCGGACAGTGGTCTGAGGTTGTTCTGGGAACTCATCTAGGGCATGGGGCTCACTCTGCAGCTCCGGGGGTTGGCCTGGGGAGGAAGAGGAGGTCTGAGGGACTCTGAACAGAGAGAGGAGATGTCGGCAGGAGGGCTGGGGAGCCAGCCCGGCAGTGAGCGGGCGTGCATCTGCATCAGGGCGGGAATAGACCTGTCCAGGCAGTGGAAAGAAACCAGAAATGGATCCTGTTCTCACTAACAATGAATAAAGCCAAACATGGCACCAGGGGAAGGATAAAATGTGAGTGAATGGGACTGATCCAGGCCTTCTCACTTCTCAAGGAAAGCGTCGCAAAGATGGGCATCGCATCCAGGGCTGAGATTGAGGACTGGTTCACGGCAGAGACCCTGGGAGTGTCTGGGTGAGAGCAGCCCCCGGGCTGAGAGGATGTGACCGTCAGCCATGGTTCCAGCAGAGCCCCAGCGGCGTCTTCCAGTCCTGGCTGCCCTGCCTGAGAGGGGAGGCCTTGGGGATGAAAGTGCTGAAGGAACTGCTTTTCACACAGCAGGAGTTGACAGCCTTAGGAGTCCCAGAGGCTGGAGCTGGGCTGGGCAGGGTAGACATAGGGCCAGCAGAGACCCCAGAGAGGGCTCCTTCTAGAATTATCTGGGTCTAGAGCACAGGTGTCACTCTCAGCCCTCCCTGGAGCTCACGCTGACAGGGGAAGGGTCAGAGCCCCACATCCCATCCTGTGAGCCAGGGGCTGGGACTGAGGTCACCAGGACCTCCAGTTGAAGTGGGGAGGTGACAGGGTGGGGCAGTAGTGAGCCATCCCCTCACACACTGCCAGCCTTGCCCACTGTGTCCGCCCTGGTTCCCTGGAGCTATGTCCACCTCCAGCCTGGCTGTCTCTGCTCAGCCTCTTCACAAGCTCAAAACAGCCCGAGGGTACTCAGTGTTTTCATAGCTGCCTAGATGCAGGACTGTTTGTGTTTTGGTTTTACATTTTTTAAATGAATGTATTTTTCATAGACACCAGGTCTCACCATGTTGCCCAGGCTGGTTTCAAACTCCTGGGCTCAAGGGATCTGCCCACCATAGCCTCCCAAAGTGCTGGGATTACAAGTTTGAGCCACTGCACGTCACTGGTTTGAAATTTTTTAAACAGATAACAATATTTACATTTTCTCTGTCTTTAAAAATGCACACCGAGGTTGGGTTTTGTGGTGGTTGGTGAACGGACTGGTTTGGGCCTGGATCCTCCACTGGACCCTAGCACCCACAGGTGGGGTCACCCACTCTGCTGATGTGCCTCCTCCTGCAGCACCGTGGACCTGCTGGACTGGAGCAGCCTCATCGACAGCAGGACCAAGCTCTGCAAGCACCTGGTGGTCCCTAACACACAGGTGATGCCTCCGCTCCTCCATGAGGCCCAGCTCAGCAGGGCACCGAGTGTCTCTTGTTGCCCACCCTGGGACATAACATGACCAAGATCACTGCATACTATGGCCCCACAGAGTCCCTATGGCCCAGGGGGAAGAAGACAAACCCACTAATGTCCACAGAAGGCTTGGTGGGACAGAGACCCATGTGCAGCCTAAGGTACCACAAGGAGAGTGTGTCTGGGGGCCTTCCCCAAGTCATCTGTCCTTGTGCATCAGGTCACCCCAAACTTCAGAGGCCTGAGATGGCAAGAGTCACTCTGCTTCTCCCTCATGGTTCTGGGGTTGACAGGACTCGGCTGGGCGGTCCTCCCCTGGGGTCTCCTGGGTAGCAGTACTCACAGAGTGATGGGCCTGGGTCCTGGTGGAGGCGCCCATTTACATGTGTGGACATTGGTGCTGGCTATGGCTTGGGCTTTCTCAACATGGCAGCTGGGTTCTAAGGGCCAGTGTCCCCTGAGACATGAGAGCCAGGCAGAAGCTGGGTTCCCTTTTACTGCCTCGCCTCAGGAGTCACATGGTGTTTTTCTGCCAAGTTCTTCTAACTGTTTGTTAGAAGCATGTCACCAGGCCAACCTGTATGCTGCGGGGAGAGGAATGAGACTTCTCTGCCTGTGGGAGGGGGCCCAGGAACTGGCAGACTGCTTGAAAGAACAGCCTAATCGGGGATTGGAAGAAAGAACAGAATCACCTTCAGAAGACACTCTGCAGAGGCAGCTTTCCATGACACATCTAGCCCCGGTCCACTATGGGCCCAGCCTCAAACTTAGAGCTCCCGACCCAGAGCCTGGGGGTGCAGCGTGTACAGTGTGGCGTGCACCAAGGCCGCCAGCTGTCAGAGACGTTAGCATGGTGTAGCAAGGGATTGAGAGGTACTGTTTGTGCCCAGTGAGACTAGGCTGCTGGGGCCAGCAAAGGGGTGAGCGGTAGGCCGGGTGCTGCAGGGACCCTGAGGGATGGGTCCCCAGGGCCTCTGAGCACCAGCTCCTTGAAGGCCTCATCCTGGAACATGTCCTGGTCTCCGGCCGTGTGTCAGCGAGTGCTGCGCAGCTGTCCTGTCTGCCTATAGCCAGGGGTTCTTCCTCCTGGGCCCTCTCCCTGCTCTGGGTGGAGCCCTTCTGTTTGATGATTGGGTGGTCCATGTTCACTTCCTCAGTGTCACATGGGAGCTGCAGGGGTCCTTCCACAATGGTGGGGCCTCAGTGGGAACTGGGGAGGCTGTTAGAGTACACGCTTTGGGGTGCAGGCCTGGACTGAGCCTGGGGCCCACTGGCATGGGCATCGAGCTCCGTCATGGTGCCGCCAGGCCCCGTGTAGGGCAGTGCACTGGCTAGTTTGGGGTTTCCAGGACACCGTCACTGTGTCCCCCTGGCCCTCCCTCCCAGCCCTTTGTGGCAGGAGGTGAGAGAGTTCCCATGGGCCGGGAACAGTGAGAGAGTTTTAGCCTGGGCCTCGGGGTGGCACTTTCCAGCCTTTGCTGTGGCCTGACTGCATGCTGTGCTCCTAGACAGGACAGCTGGAGCCCCTGCTGTCCCGGTTTACTGAGGAGGAGGAGCTGCAGATGACGAGGATGCTGCAGCGGATGGATGTCCTGGCCAAGGTGAGCTGCCCTACTTAGGGAGAGGGCTGGGGCCCTGGGGACCTGGGACTCATGCAGAGGAGGGCACCTGCCTCACTTGAGCAACAGCTGCTCCCCCTCCCCTCCCCTGCACCTCTCAGAAAGCGACAGAGGTGGGTGTGCGGCTGATGGTGGACGCCGAGCAGACCTACTTCCAGCCGGCCATCAGCCGCCTGACGCTAGAGATGCAGCGCAGGTTCAACGTGGAGAGGCCGCTCATCTTCAGCACGCACCAGTGCTACCTCAAGGTCGGCTCCCGCCCAGCCCCTGCCTGCCTGCCTGGGGGCTTGGAGGCCGGCAACAGGAGGGGCTCCTCTCAGCTGAGCTCCGTGGTATTTGCCTGGTTCCATGCTGAGCACCTGCCAGGGAGGTGCTCCTCAGGATGGAGGAGAGAGTGGGCCATGCCCCCGAGGGGCAGTTGGGGTCTTCTGCAGAATAGCTCACTCAGGGCGGACCCCAGGGGCCAGGAAAGAGGCCCTTGGGTGGTGGCCACAGCCAGGCCTGCAGAGGACGTTGAGGCCGGGGTGACTGCCTCAGAGGAAGAAGAAAGGTCTCTGCCAATGCCTGCTGCCTGCAGCCCCTCCTCTTCTCAGAACCAGCCAAGAGTGTTTAATGAGCAGGAGGAAGACAGTAATCTTTATGAGGATCCACTAGATGTGCCCGACACCCCCAACTTGGAAGGCTTCACGTGACCGTTTCCTCAAGCTCGTTTTGAGTTGAGCACCCCTCTAAGGACCTGATGAAAGCTTTGGGCCAATGCCGGAAGGACTCACCCAGGATGTCGCATGTATTCAGGGAGCCCAGGGGTGCTTCAAGGCAGGACCCCCAGCCCAGCCTGCTTAGGGATGCTAGGCTGCTTAGGGACGCTAGTAGGTCCAGAGCTCTCAGGGTGAGCCAGGTGCCCAGAGGACACAGGGTGCCATGGGGAGGGGTCCAGGTAGGAGCCTGCAGTACACACCCCTCCCACAGTCGGCCTGGGAGTCTAGAGCACATGATGGCTGCTGCTGCCTGGGCTGCCCCCACAGGAGGCTGCAGATGTCCCCACTGCCATTTCCCCTTGGGGACAGAAGTTGGGGGCCCATCCTCAACCACACCTGCTCCAGGCGCCCTGAGCAGCACCTCCCCAGGCAGCTGCTGCCCAGCTCTGGTGACTGTACCTGGGGGCACATGGGCCCAGGAAGGCCCCATCCTGCTGTCACTTGGGCTTGCCCAGGCTCCCTGTGACTTTTGGCCCTGGCCCCACAGGATGCCTATGACAATGTGACCCTGGATGTGGAGCTGGCTCGCCGTGAGGGCTGGTGTTTTGGGTCCAAGCTGGTGCGGGGTGCATACATGGCCCAGGAGCGAGCCCGTGCGGCAGAGATTGGCTATCAGGACCCCATCAACCCCACGTACGAGGCCACCAACGCCATGTACCACAGGTGCGCAGCTCTCCCGCACCTCCATCTTCCCAGGGCAGGGTGCCAAGAAACCGGGACTGAGGGAGGGGCTTGGAGAGGCTGCTGGGGCTGGCAGTGTCCCACCCTGCTGGAGCCAGAAGCCCCCAGCAGGAGTGGCAGCCGCATGTGTCCTGAGGTCAGAACTGATATTTCCTCTGCTTTTGTGTTATGTATTGCTTTTTCAAAAACATTAAGGTTATTCTTTTATAAATATAAAAATGCCAATTGAACAAAGCAAAATCGGCCACGGTTCCGAGCCGGCTCCTGCAGACACTTAGATCCAGAGATGTGCAGGAGCTCCCGGCCTCCCCCGCCCCGCAGGCTCAGCCTGTTTGCTCTTCAGTTCCCGCAGTGGGACCACCCATCAGCTGCTCTGCAGCTTCTTTTACTCTAGTTCTCTTGGTGATCTTTTCATGTAGCACAGGCCGACCGACCATGGGCTTTTCCTTAGAGGTGAGTGTGCATATTGCACATGCAGAGACGCCAAGTGTCTCCTGGTCGGCATGTTGTCCACAGTGCACACGTCTGCAGCACTGATGTTTGCACTGTACAGTGTGTCCTCTGCCCAATGCGTTTTTCATTTCACATTCCCTCTGGGTTCCTTTGTGTGGGCTTGCAGAGCGCCGCTGTTAACAGCCAGCATGGGGTGCCCAGGGCTGTGTGTCCAGTGTCTTTGATCTTACTGGTTTTCAGTCTGGTGGTTGTCATGGGGACTCACTGGACATACTGTCACCCTCTGTAGTACACGGGCTGTCAGGGGTTCTGTGTCGGAGGATGCAGCTGTCCTAGGTTCCTGGAAATGGGATTGCAGGGTCAGGGAGAACGTGTGCATGGTCAAGCCTGCTGAGCGTCCTCTCTGCAGGAGGGCTGTACTGCTCGAGCATCCTGGTGCCCTGGGATGCCCACCCCCACTGTGGCCTAAGGACCTGCTTCCCTTTCATTTCCTTGCAGGGCCAGGGGTGCACTGTAGGACCCCTCCCCAGAAGGAAAGCTGTCTCTGTCTTGAGACTCATGGGCACGTTTGGGCTGGTCCAGAGTCAAGGGCACACTAGATGCAGGGATGCTGTACCCCACCTCGTTCTGAGAAAACTGCCCGACATTGTTCACCTGTTCTTGGTTGCTGGTCTTTTTCATGAGGTGCTGGGAGCGGCAGACGCTGCTCCCATTTCTCCTGATGCTATGGGCACCCTTGGAAAGAGCCGGCTCACTGGATGGTCCTGGGCCTGGCCTTGGCCTCCTCCCTGTGCTGCTGGTAACGAGAGGCACAGGCGATCACAGGCCTGGAACTGGGCTCATGTGGCACTCTCCACAGGTGCCTGGACCACGTGTTGAAGGAGCTGAAGCACAATGCCAAGGCCAAGGTGATGGTGGCCACCCACAACGAGGACTCAGTGCGCTTCACACTGCGCAGGTAGGTGTGTCCCGCCTCACACTGTCACCCCACCCTGAGCTAGGTGTGCCCTGCCCTGCACTGTCGCCCCACCCCGAGGTGTTGGCTCCTCTGGTTGGGGAGAATTGGCAGCAGTGCAGAGCTCAGGGCGGGCAGAGCTACCTACCTACTGGGTGCAGCTGGGCATTTGTGGGGTAGGTTGGTGGAGGGCAGCTTCAGTGTCCTACAGGCCCAGGCCTGCTGCTGTTCTGGACATTGTACCGTGAGAGCACAAAGGCTCTTTGCAGTTACTTTGGTTTTTAAAAGTAACATATTATTATTAGTTTTTGAGACAGAATGTTGCTGTCACAGGCTGGAGTGCAGTGGCATGGTCTCGGCTCACTGCAATCTCCACTTCCCAAGTTCAAGAATTCTTCATGCCTCAGCCTCCCAAGTAGCTGGGATTACAGGTGTGTGCCATCACACCTGGCCAATTTTTTGTATTTTTAGCAGAGACAGGGTTTTACCATGTTGGCCAGGCTGGTCTCAAACTCCTGGCCTCAAGTGATCCTCCCTTCTTGGCCTCCCAAAGTGCTGGAATTACATGTGTGAGCCACTGTACCCAGCCTTTGAGAAACGGACTTATTGAACTTCCAAATTAAAAAATGAAATTTCATTAGGGGATTCGCATGGCTCTGGAAAGGTACAGATACAGTGTTGGAATCCAGGCCCTCAGGAGGCCTCCAGAGCACTGCCTCTGGAGTTCCCTTCACATTTTTTTTCTATAAGCAGTTCCCTTCACATTTTTTTTCTTTTCTTTTTGAGACAGAGTGTTGCTCTGTCACCAGACTGGAGTGCAGTGGTGAGATCGTGGCTCACTGCAACCTCCGCCTCCCAGGTTCAAGTGATCTCCTGCCTCAGCCTCCCTAGTAGCTGGGATTACAGGTGCCTGCCACCACACCTAGCTACTTTCTGTATTTTTTGTAGAGATGGGGTTTCACCATGTTGGCCAGGCTGGTCTCAAACTCCTGGCCTCAAGTGATCCACCCACCTCGGCTTCTCAAAGTGCTAGGATTACAGGTGTAAGCCACTGTGCCTGGCCGTTCCCTTAACATTTTAGTACATCTGAAATGTAATGGTTTGTTTTCTCTTTAAATGTTCGTCCCATGGAGCACAACTTGGGTAGAATCCTAACAAGTCAAATACAGAAGTTAGGTGAAGTCCTAACTTTTTGGATAGTCCAGTACCGTCACTCTGGTCTTGCCTCTTGTCTAAGCCCAAGCTATGCGCTCAATGGGGTCCTAGGTCCCCCTCCCTTCCCAGATTGTCTTTCCAGGGATGGGACCCCCCAGAACCCTTGGGGGCCTGGGCAGCAGCCTCACTGGCTCTTGCCTTCCTAGGAGCTGAGCAGGAGCTCCACTCCACAGCAGGGCAGGGTGCCCTAGATCCAGGACTTGAGGCATAAGGGGGCTCCCCAAGAAGCCACAGGGCCAGGGCTGTAGCCAACAGGACACATCCTGGCGCTGCTCAGGGATCTGACTCATGGCTCGGAAATCATTCAGTGATGTCCACACTCCGCCTCTGTTCATGATGCTGCTTTGTCATGGCCTGAAATGGCAGCACACCCCCTTTTGTGCCCCGATCTTCCACTAATTGTGATAGATGTGTCAGTGATGGGACAGACTCACTTTGTCCACACGCACAGGCCTGGTGGCCAGCAGTGCCCGGCACTCGGGAGCTGGTGGTGCGTCCTCTTGGCTTACCGTCAGGACTCCCGGCCTCTGGTTGGACTCTCAGTGCTGGTGGACTCACAGTCTGACTAGCCATATCACCATCCAACTCTAAAAGGACAGCCTGCCCTCAGCAGGGCTTCCTCTCTCTCCAGCTTCAGCTTCCTCCCCCCGACTCCACCCGGGACCTGTCCTTACTATTTTGCTGTGGCAGTGGCTCCCCCACTGGACACCAATACCAAGCCTGACAGCAGGCTTCAGCTCTGTGCCCCTGCTGTGGATGGCTGGGTAGCTGGGTCTAGAACCGACCTCCCCGGAAAAGTGGTTCTAGACTACGGTGGCTGTTGTGTCCTATGCCGGGCCCAGACCATCATACCACCCACCCTCAAACAACCCCAGTAGGCTTTGGCCAAGGAACAAACCAGCCCCAAACTTAGAGGCTGGAACAGCGGCATGTTCCGTGGGCCAGAGGCAGGCTGGATCAGCTGGTGCTTCTGCCACTGGCTGTACCCGTGTCCCTCCTGCACCTGTGACCAGCTGGGGCCGGTGAGGCCTAATGACTTCATTCACGGCCAGGGCAGTAAAGGAGACTGCGTCCTGAGTCCAGTGCCCCACAGGCCAGTCCAGGCTTGACCGTGTGGTGGGCTCAGGCTTCCAGAAGGCCTGGATAGGGCAAGCCTCTGCTTGTGTCACTTCTGCTACCTCCCTGTTGGCCAAAGTGCCTCATGAGGCCAAGGCCAGATGCCAGGTGGAGTGAGCTGCTGTCCTGCGCTGGGAGGAGCGCAGTTACATGGCAGAGGCTGTGCACACCAGCAGGGGAGGGGGCAGCCAGCAGTGGCAGCCTGGCTCTAGGGTTCATGTCCTGGGGTTGAGGAAGGCACAAGCTGGAGATCAGGGAAATGTGGCACAGATGGGTGTCTGCTTTAGCTGGGTGGTCCCAACACTGGGACCCAGCCCAGGGAGGGAGGGAAAGGGCCTATGGCTGATGGGTACTCTGGGAGCTTGAGCTGGCGTGGGTTGGGGGAGGGCATGGGAAGCACAGCACAGGCCCCAACTGTCACCTGGGTGATGTGTGAGGAGCAGGCGGAACTCGTCCCAGCGTGGGGGCCCCGGTGCTGGGCAGACCAACTAAGTTGGGATACCTGGATATAGGAAGCTGGAGATGAAACTTGAGAACTGTCACTGCACGAATATTTCAAACCCTGAGAATTTTTGTAAAACCCTGTAAGGAGTGGTGTCAGGACAGAGTTGAGGGCCCCCACCCCATCTGAGCAGTGTCCCATCTGTAATTTAAGATTTTTTAGTAGCTATGTTAAAAGGGAAAGTGAATTTCAGTAATACATTTTAATTAACCCAAAATATATAAAATATTACTTCCAATTGTATTCCAGTTGCTTTTAGGAAAGCGATGTGGCGTTTTGCATTATTTTACTACAAAGTCTCCTAAATCCTGAGTGTCTGACACTTGCAACGCATCTCGATTCAAAGCGGCCACCTTCCAAGGACTCTGGGGCTGGTGGCAGTGTGGGACAGAGCAGCCGTGGGGATGGGGCAGAGGAGTTTGAGGGCAGGGCCGGAGCCCAGTCACCCTGCAGAACCCCGGAAGGACTTGAGGCAGGGATGGTGGGAGAGCCGAGGAGCTTCCCTGCCCTGTGGGGCAGGCTGCTGGGTGGGTCAGGGCCTCAGGAAGGGCTGCACTTCCAAGAAGGGAGGTGGAGAGGTGGGGGTGGGGATGGCAGGAAGGGGGCCTTGCTGGCTAAGGGCCGAGCCTCCCCAGGGAGAAGAGTAGGGCAACCCAGCAGAGTCCTGCTGGGAAGAGGCCGCACTGGGGCAGGGCCGGGCAGAGCCCATAGCCCAGCCCCACCTCACAGGGGATAAAGTCTGGAGTATAGATGGGGGACTTGGGGTGACAGGACAGACTCAGAGCTGGGACGGGGCCCTGTACCCCTGCACCGGGGGCAGTGTCCTGGAACTGGCCTTCAGCTCCTGGCTTCACCTGCACAGGATGGAGGAGCTGTGCCTGCATCCCGCTGGCCACCAGGTGTATTTTGGCCAGCTGCTAGGCATGTGTGACCAGATCAGTTTCCCGCTGGGTGAGTGGGGCCCTCCCTGGTGTGGTGGGGTTGGGGTACTGGGCCTGGTCCTCATGGTGCATCTCTCCCCCATGCAGGCCAGGCCGGCTACCCCGTGTACAAGTACGTGCCCTACGGCCCAGTGATGGACGTGCTGCCCTACCTGTCCCGCCGCGCCCTGGAGAACAGCAGCCTCATGAAGGGCGCCCGTCGGGAGCGGCAGCTGCTGTGGCTGGAGCTCTTGCGGCGGCTCCGAACTGGCAGCTTCTTCCATCGCCCTGCCTAGCACTCGAGAACCCACCCTTGGCCTCCAGGCACCCCAGTTGTGGCCTCCAGGGACCCTCACCCCTCCAGGCCATCACCACAGCTGTAGCCAACCCCATCCTCACACAGATTCACCTTTTTTCACCCCACCCTTCAGAGCTGCTGGATGTGGGCCAGGTGCCTCCCAGCCCCGCCCAGGGTGTGGGCCAAATCTGATACCTGCCTCAGAAAGCTGCTGGGAACTGTGGGGAATCCTCGGATGTGTGGGCCCAAGCCCCTACCTCTGTGACCCGCATGTCCTTGGACGTAGAGGATTGTCTGCCTTCTGCCAGGGGCAGCCCACAGAGCTCGAGCCCCCTCAGGGAGCAGTGGCCGGGCTGGGGAGGCCTGTCTGGTCAATAAAGCACTGTTCCTACAGCTGAGAGCCCTTGCTCCCACACAGGGTCAGCTCTGGACAGCAAGAGGGAGGGGCTCAGACAGGGTCCCAGAAGTCTCAGCCCAGACTCTGGCCTCCAGTGTCATCTGTTCCTGGAGGCTAGGCCCTGTGCAGACCTGGCCACCCCCAACCCTGACTCCACAACTCAGGACCCAGCAGGGCCCCTGGGCTCAGGGCAGCATGGAGGGGACTCATGCAGATGCAGAGGCCAAGCTCCCCAGGTGGGCCTGACACCCCTCCCCCTGGGGCTTCTTCTCAGGCCATTCCCTGGCATCCTGAGTCCTCCACACCCCCCACAACCATGACCTGCATCAGCCGCCTCCTAATGGTTCCCACAGGACACTGACCAGGCTGCAGCAGGTACACCCTCAGCCCCCTGCCTTCTCCCACACTCTCCAGCCCCACAAAGCAGGCTGGATGTGGTCCTCAGGCTCTGGGGCTTGGATGGGGGCCCCATGTAGATGGCAGTGACAGCATCCTGGGACCAGGGCCGGGGCAGGAAAGCCCTGGAGGCTCCCAGTCTCCATGCAAGGGGAGGGGTGGAGGGCTGGGCACACAGCCCAGGAAGGAACCCCGAGGCAGCTCTCTGCTGCAGCAGAGGTGGGGGCCCTACCAGGGCCCTGGTATGGCAGAACCCACAGCTGTCACACAAGCCACATGCAGGCCACACTGAGGTATCTTTATTTCTCTGTGTCACTCAGAGCTTGGGCCTCAGAGCCTCTTCTGCATGGGGGCTGCAGCTGCCAAGGGAGAGGCTGAGACCAGAACAAGCACTCAGGTGGGCCCCAGTGCAGGTCGCAGTATGCCCAGCAGAGTGAAAAGGTGTGAGAACCCCCATGCCCACTCTGCCTGGCCCTGAGGCAGACAGCGGCAGGCTGAGTCCACCTCCCCATTATGAGACCATCCTAGCATTTGGCAGAAAGTCCCAGATGAAGGCGGGGGACAGGCAGCCAGGGTCCACCTGGCCTCTCCTCAGCAGGGGGACCCCTGCAGGCAGCTGCAAAGGTACTGGCCAAAGGTCAAGAAGATGAACTCTGCCTGCTGCCTGTGGCTATGGTGGGACAGGGCTGCCTTCCTGGTCATACTGGGCAGCAGGCAGCGGCCAGCGACCTCCCAGTCCCAGGGATGCCTTCCCTGCCTGGCAGCCCCTCTGTTGCAGCTTCCGGATGAGCTCCAGCAGGTTCATCTGCAGCATCAGCTCCTGGGATACAGAGGGGCCCCATGAGCATCAGAGCGACCCAGGCCCCGTTCATCCCAGCCTAGAGGTGCCAGGCAGTGAGCCCATGGGGCGACCACCCTGTGAAGCCGGTCATGGACTGCCAGGAAGGGGTGGAATCTGAGCCTCTGCCCCCAGCAGGGCCGCTCAGAATGGCATGTGGGAGGAGAGCAAGAGGGCCCTGCGGGCCTAGGGAGGGTGGGCAGTGCCCCATGGCTGGCTGGCTGGCTCACCCTCCTGTAGGGAGTGGGCCCGGCCTCTGTGCTGAGAACAGCATGGAAACCCTTTCCAGAGCCTCAGTCCTTCCACTTCACCCCCTATACCCTGAGCCTGGATTCCCAGGGACCAGCGGTGAAACCCCAGATGGAATGGGGTCTTCAGGGCTCAGGGGTACTCGGGCCAGGGCAGAGCAGGCCCAGGCACTGACCTGTGGGTTGGTGGTCACGTAGAAGCCAGCCACCCCCGCCTTCTCCAGTGTGCTCTGCTGGTCAGCCACCTTCCGGTCCAGCTCTAGGACGATCTTCCGGTCCATTGCCCGCTGCTCCTCATGGATCCGGTGCTCCACCGCCTGCCGTGGGTGAGGGAGGGTGAGGGCAGCTCAAACACAAATGTCTGCTGCTGTCCCCAGTAGCACTAGCTCTGACACCACCGATGCATCCTCACCACACCCAGGCCTCTCCTCGGCCAAACCCTGAAGTGGGGCTCCAAGGGGCTTCCACAAATGCCCCGACCTGGGGCTGCCTTGGGACTGCACACGCATCTCTGCAGGCACCCACTGCCCCGTGGCTTCTTGGTTAAATGTCAGTCTCCGGCTGTCCCTGTGCTCCCTGGGAGAAGGATGGGCCCCTTCCTGGCTGGCTCTATCACCCCACCATTGCCCTTGTACCCCTTGTACCATTGCCCTTGTACACCATTGCCCTTGTACCCCTCGTACCACCTGCTCTAGGCCCCAACCCACAAGGAGCTGCTATGCAGGGGAGCACTGGTGAGCCTTCACCCTCCACCCAGCCCCAGTACACCTGGCACCCACAGGGAGGAGCCACCTGGTGGGACTCACTAGGCTTCCAGTGGCCCATTCAGGCCCAGGGTAGCCACCCACACCTGAGCCCCCCTGCACCCCTTAGCTCAGCCCAGTCAGCAGAGCCAGGTGGTACCCCAGTAGAGCCGGGCTGGCCACCCTGCCTGTGCCCCCCTGCACCCCTTAGCTCAGCCCAGTCAGCAGAGCCAGGTGGTACCCCAGTAGAGCCGGGCTGGCCACCCTGCCTGTGCCCCCCTGCACCCCTTAGCTCAGCCCAGTCAGCAGAGCCAGGTGGTACCCACAGTAGAGCCGGGCTGGCCACCCTGCCTGTGCCCCCCTGCACCCCTTAGCTCAGCCCAGTCAGCAGAGCCAGGTGGTACCCACAGTAGAGCCGGGCTGGCCACCCTGCCTGTGCCCCCCTGCACCCCTTAGCTCAGCCCAGTCAGCAGAGCCAGGTGGTACCCCAGTAGAGCCGGGCTGGCCACCCTGCCTGTGCCCCCCTGCACCCCTTAGCTCAGCCCAGTCAGCAGAGCCAGGTGGTACCCACAGTAGAGCCGGGCTGGCCACCCTGCCTGAGCCCCCAGTACCTCTAGTTCTCGCTGCTGAGCCACCTGGAGCACAGGCAGGTTGTGGGGCCGGCAGGCCTGCTGGGCTTCCTGGTGCTTCTGTCGCAGCGCCTGCCTGAGCACTGGAAGGATGAGAGCCCATCAGCAGGCGGTGGGACTTGGCAGCAGTGCTCACCCATGGGCACCTGCCCTGCCCCGAGCAGAGCAGCCAAGCCAAAGGGGTGTCTGCACTTCGGAGGATGCCAAGCTCCTCCATCCTCCCAGGCCCACTGTCACCCAGGGCCGGGCCCTCCTCCAGCAGCAAGTCTCCAGGGGACTCCAGAAGGTGCGGGACACTCAGGGTGGGGTGGGAAAGGCTGGATGGGGCCAGAGCTGCAGCCCCAGACCCAGGGCAGCTGGAGGAGGCGGGAGGGGGGGAGGCTGCAGTCAGAGGGCTTCAGGCCTCACACAGCCACAGGCCAGCAGTGCTGTGTGTGTTCTGCCCCATCGTCCATGGAACATGTACTCAAGTGCCGGAGACCACCTCAGGCAAAGGCATGGGAAAGTATCCAAGAGGTAAAGAGACAGGACACTGAAGAACTGGTGAAGAGCATCTGGACTGGGCCTGACTGTGGGCCTCTGCAAACCAGGGATGCGCTTGGCCCCTCCATCCTCGGTGCTGCCCTTCAGGGTGAACAGCTGCCTCCCCCATTTGCAGCTCCCAGCCCCCCACAGTGCCTGAGGGAGAAGGGTGGGCACAGACGTGGGAGGCCCAAGTTTGGGATGAGCCTGGGGTGCCGTGAGGCTCCGGGCCAAGGAGTCTGTGTGGCTCTGAGGCGCTCACCTTGGGCCACCAAGCAAAGTTCCACGGTCTGCTGAACTGGTCATAAACACACACAGTGGGGCTGTCTAGTCTGAAGGGAACGTACAGAGGAAGCGATCACGGGACACAACAAAACCACCATAGTGAAAGGGAACACGAAGCACCCGCAGCTGGCACCAGTGACCAGTAAGCGCCAAATGGCTACACTACAGCACCCGCAGCTGGCACCAGTGACCAGTAAGCGCCAAATGGCTACACTACAGCACCCCGCAGCTGGCACCAGTGACCAGTAAGCGCCAAATGGCTACACTACAGCACCCGCAGCTGGCACCAGAGACCAGTAAGCGCCAAATGGCTACACTACAGCACCCGCAGCTGGCACCAGAGACCAGTAAGCGCCAAATGGCTACACTACAGCACCCGCAGCTGGCAACAGTGACCAGTAAGCGCCAAATGGCTACAGCTCCCCAGGAAGGAGGGGTCCCTGGCCACAAGAACACGCGAAACCCAACACTGTTCCTGGGAAGAGAGCCCTGATGCTTGCTGCAGCTCTTCTCCGGAGGCCCCTGAGGCTGCCCTGCAGGTAGCCTGGCTCCTGCTGTGCCTACAGCCTTCCCCAATCTCCTGTTTCTTGGCGTTCTGTTCACACCTCGACGATGGCATTTATCACATGAAATATGTTTCTGGCTGAGCGTGGTGGCTCACACCTGTAATCCAAGCACTTTGCAGGCCAAGGCAGGCGGATCACCTGAGGTTGGGAGTTCAAGACCAGCCTGACCAACATGGTGAAACGCCGTCTTGAAAAAAAAGAAAGAAAGAAATATGTTTCCAACCAAGACCCCCGCCTCCCCCAGCCCCGAGACATCTTCGAAACACAGGGAAGCAGCGAAATGTCATCTCCTTCACTCTACTGACTGCTACAAGTGCCAGGTCCACTGCCAGATTCCACTAGGTAGGCAACCAACAGGCAAGAAGAGAGCCACGCTGGCTGCCTGGGCTTAGACGTGACCTCAGACATGACCAGGGAACACAAAGGAGGAGGAGCAACCAGTCAGCCCTGCTGAATCAGCAGGAGAAGCAGACAGTCAATGCAGACACGCCTGCTGCTGGGGGAACCAGGGCCTGGCCCTTCTGAAGCACAAACGCACTGGGCCCAGAGAGTTACTGAAACTCCTCCTCCTGCTAGAAGGAACCAGAGCTCTGTGGGAAAATGACCGATTCTAGTGCTGAGACAGAGAAAACGAGAAAAGATGAGCCAAACACGTCCTGAACCAGAAAGCAGGGAAGTGCTCAAGGAATGATGGGAGGCACCTAAGGGAGCCTGGAGCGCCCCCACTGGCCACACATGGCACAGTCTGAGCATTAACAAATAATGGGCC